CATTCAGGATGTTCAGCCCTTTTAGAAATGGACAAATTATTGGTGACATAGTATGCCAAAACTAGTCAGAACAGCCTGTAAATACCCAAGGGATCACAGTGGAATATGGCAAAGGAGTGGAAAGTAAGAGAATACTCCCATCAAAGCTGATCTGAGTGGGGGTGACAAGCACATGAGAAGAACTGCCAGTAACAGGAGGAGCAGCACATTCCCATCACTGCAGTAGCAGTGACCAGTCAGAAGGGAAGGGTAAGACTTGCTGAAGGTACTGAGCTGTGACAATGCTTAAGATAAACAAGACTTAGGACTTGAGAAGCTGAGAATGAGCTGCTTTTAGCTAGCAAAAATAAGAACCTATTTTCATAATCCAGTATTTACCCACAAATCTCACTGTGCTTTTGTTTCACAAAGGAAAAATTGTCACAAGTCCTTAATAACCAGAGAAGCTACTGATTAGGCATTCAATTACTGTCTCTGGTCATTAGACAGTTGTGTGAGTGGAAGGGCAGGAAATGCCAATGTTTTGCAGTAAGGAGAATTAATGCATAGCTTTCTTACCCATCTGACTGCGTCCTGATCTCCAGCACCTTGAACCTCTGTCTTCCTATGGCTTTCACCTTGACTGTCTCAATTCCATACTCCTGCTCTTCCCTGTAGGCATAGATTTCTGCTGTGGTTCCAAAATGTGCTTCTCTTTCATGAACATTACTGAAACAAACAAGTGAAAAGAAATGAAGCCTCCAAACAGCACAGCTCACTCAGGCCCCACAGCTCAGTCTGTCTGCACTGACTGGGCATGGTTAGTCTATCAAAGGAATAACTGGGCAAAATACACTCAACTCATCACAATTATTCTTACTTAATTCTTTAATTCCATTTACTTTGTTTAAGAACTCTAATATTTGGGTTGGGTTGGGGTTTTTTTGCCAGGTGACCTGGGTTCATTTCAGGGTCTAGAGGTGGGAGCACAGGGATCACCAATATCTCTGCATTGAAATGCACATAATGAAAGTA